ATGAGGCTCATTTTCATCTTGATGGCTTGGTTAATCGACAAAACTGTCGCATTTGGGGTTCAGAAAATCCACGAGTGATGGTTGAGAAACAAATGCATCCACAGTGTGTCACTGTTTGGTGCGGATTTTGGGCTGGAGGCATCATCAGACCATTCTTCTTCGAAAATGCGGCTGCTCAGGCAATAACAAAAGAGTGTGTATATGCCAGCAAAGCCGTGGAGGCCACTTACCCGATATGCTATTCCATACATAACCCTATACTGTATGCTTTATGAATCAATAAAAAATTTACAATTTTTAATTATAAACCTGTGTTTTCTATCAAAATTACTTCTTGCGTGAATTTTGGGACACCCTTTATATATATTGTACTAAGCCCTAACCAATTCTGCTCAGTGGTTAGAGCATCGGCCTGCCCCCTGAAAGGTCTCGGGTTCAATTCCAGTCAAGGGCACGTACCTCAGTTGCAGGCTTGACCTCCAGCCCTCGTTGGGGTGTGTGCAGGAGGCAACCAGTCGATGTGTCTCTCACATCAATGTTTCTCTCTCTCTCCCTCTCCCCCTCTCTTTCATTCACCCTTAAAAAACAATCAATGGGAAAAATATCCTCAGGTGAGGATTAACAAAACAAAATAAATAAAAGAATACTGTATACTGTAGCCCAGCTGTCGTGGCTCAGTGGTTGAGCATTGACCTATGAACCAGGAGGTCACGGTTCCATTCCGTCAGGGCACATGCCTGGATTCCGGGCTCAATCCCCCATGTGAGGCATACAGGAGGCAGCCAATCAATGATTCTCTTTCATCATTGATGTTTCTAACTCTCTCTCCCTCTCCCTTCCACTCTGAAATCTATCTATCTATATAATATTCATTTCAAAACATTGTACACTTGACATTTTTTTAAAAATACTTTTAAAAAGTTGCCTGGCCCTGGCCAGTGTTACTCAGTGGTTAGAGCATCACTGGCCCAGTCAAGGGCTTGCACCTGGGTTGCAGATTCAATCCCCAGCCCATCCAGGCTGATATGTTTCTCTTATCTTTCTCTCTCTTTCTCTCTCTCTCTCTCTCTCTCTCTCTCTCCCTCCTCCTCTCTCTCTTTGCCCCCCCCCAAAAAAAAATCAATGGAAAAAATATCCTCTCGTGAGGATTAACAACAAAAAAGAAAAGCTGCTTAAATCCTTCTGCTTAAATTCCTTATCATAGTGCTTCCTATATGACAGAGTAATTCTGGCCTTTTAAGAAGTATAAGTCTAAACGAAGAGACTCTTTTACTAGTATATTCTAACACTTTGAAAAGATATGCTACAGGCATATAAGAAAATTTCTAATTTGAAAATGGCACTTATCTTTAAATATGCAATACATCAATATAATTTTATACTTTATCAGATAATAACATGATAAAAAATATTGTCTCCCAATTTACAAGTTTTCACTGTAGTAAATTTGAGCTCATGCTTATAATTCCCTATAGCAGTAAAATCCAAGATGTTATCAATTATAAGATATACCCATTATTGTATGTTCAATTAAGAAAGATAAAGGATGACTCTCCATCCACTGTATAACACATTCCCCTTTTAGAAATGTTAAAATGTGGGGAAATGTATACCTTAGAATTGACGAAATATGGTATATTTTCAAGGATATCAACTTCATAGTATCAGCTCCAATATTTTTATAATTCTTAAACTGAGAGATAGCCATACCCAAATAAAACATCAATAAGTTGTCAAGTACTATGTCTATAATATTTAAATATCTATTAATATGTACAACTATATGGTGAAAGGGTGAACTATACATACTACTGTATTTAGGAATTTTGATAATAGATCTGACTTTAGTTGGATAAAAATTACCTGTAGGCATGCATCCCCTTTGTCAGTCCTGCACTATGCTTTTCATAAATTGACGTACAAGAAACACCTTCATCCAGTCCCCTAAATAAATCCAAAGTTTTTACTTTAAACAAAGTTTAAAATATCCAAATGTCTTAATGCCTCATTTTTCTATATTCTGATTTTAAAGTGTGACTTCCTTACAAACAGAAATCCTTAACAAAAAATGAGATAATGAATGGGAATTTTAAAATCTAAAATGCCCAAGATAAACAATAGTGAAAGTTCTAAGTCTCAAAAGTGGCAACTTCTAAGTTATACAATCTATCTATCACATGATAAGATGGCTTTAAATACTCATGTTTATATAATATTATTATCCTTTAAGGCTGTGCACCAAAGCTGTTAAGAGCTAATAACTAAACTAATAAAATTAAAGGTAGAGTATGATAGTTTGAGAATTCCAAACTAAAAATAAAAAAATGTTTTACTTTTTATTTAGTTCCCCCTCTTTAATTCTTTAAGCTTCACAGTAAGAAATCCTATTCATTTATTTTCTTTCTATAAAAGCATTCACCAAAATCCTTCCCTGATTTAATACATAGAGAGTACAGAATTTATGAGTCACGGGCAATGTCTAAAATCTGTAACAATTCTAATTGGAATTCAATTAACCTATCTTCTTTCTCTCCAAAAATGTCTTAATTATACTGAGATTCTAGAATTAACTGAGATACTAGTAATAGAACTCTGAAGAGAATCTTATACATCATTTAACTCCAGTCCTTTTCCACTTTTGTCAGATAGGAAAATTAAGCTCCGTAAGTAACTGTTATCATAAATTCTACAAGTTTTTATGGTTGGCAAATGCTGCACAGCAATATGTTTGATGCTTTTTTCACACTGAAGTTGATGACTTCTCCAAAGGCAGCAGCAATCAGCTCCAAGTCAATTTTTTTAAAAAACCAAAACACCAGCTCATTTGCAGTATTCTGTAAGGCAATGGTTCTTAACTAGGAATGGTCTTCACAACTAGGCATGTGGAAATGCCCTGGTCCATTCCAGAATATTCTAATTCTTTAGTGTCAGGGGGGAAAATCCAGGCATGAATATTTGAAATGCTCATAAGGTGATTCTCTTTGTATTGTTAATATTAAGAATTCCTTTAGCACTCTCAAGCAATGATACTTGAGTGTTTATAATAATTGCTTTAACAAAAGCAATAAAAATAGAATCCTAATTAATTAGTACTTATATAACTTGAAGCCTCCACAAAAATTTATCCAGTGATAAATTTTAAGAGATTACACCAATTTGTCCTACCCAAGGTTTAACACATTTGACAATGTCCCATCTTTATTAACATAGTGAAGTTAAATTTCCATTTATCTCTTCATCCCTCAAGTATATACAAGTGGGTAGAACTCTGAGCATATTGGGAGGTAACAGTTCAGATAGGTATACTCAAAGTTCACTTTGAGATGAACCCTCAAAAAGAAAAGAACTCAGACTCAGTGGATTTTAGGATCATACTACTTTTCTAACTTTTATGTAAATTTTGCCACGATACAGGTTGCAAGTGACATTTCATTCTAAAATGGTTAATCAGTATTCAAATAACACTGGAAGTTGCTAAAGAATAAGTGAATAAAAGTTCTTCAATAAAAACCTATTCAATTTTATGTAACATTAGAATGAATTCTTTTCTATCTAGAACATTTTCAATATACTCATAATATAATCTAAAAAAAAAAAATCACTTACTTTAAGAAATCAAAATTGTGAAGGGTATCATTCCAGAAATATTTTACACTATGGTGGGTAAAGTAACGAATCTGTAAAACACATAAATGTTACATCAAAAAGCATTATCATCACCTGTTTTCAATTACGTTTACTAACACAAATCTATCATCTAACAACATATTAAATTTAAAGTGATCACATGTGACATGTAAATGTAATCTGTTTCTTTTAATAATACCTGAACTGTTATAATACAGTGATAAACAGGCATTTTATATGCATATACATTTATCTCAAAAATAACTGCAAACACAAAATTATAGACTATCCATGATAGCATAACATGTAACAATTCTGATTTTTAAAGAAACCTTGAAACTAAGATTACAGTACCTGTTCTGATTGTGTCTGTGAATATTTATTTATCTCATGCCTGTTTTCTTCGGCCAAATTTTCAGTTAAAAGAACAGCATGGCCATTTGAAACCTTATTAGCCACAGATTTTGGACTCGAAAATGGATGAGTTTTCAGAGAAAGCAAGCGAATTTTTGCACAAAACCACGTTTTGAATTCATCCTTACAAGAGAGAAAGGTAAAGAGTCAATTATGTATATTATACAACTGTCTACATTTTTATTTGATTTCTATTCTTTACAATATTATTTACTCATCTCTAATTGAGAAAGCATCACTTCCTACTGACTTAACCATTTCATAAAGATGCATAAATTTGCCGAAACCGGTTTGGCTCAGTGGATAGAGCGTCGGCCTGCGGACTGAAGGGTCCCAGGTTCGATTCCGGTCAAGGGCATGTACCTTGGTTGCGGGCACATCCCCAGTTGGGGGCGTGCAGGAGGCAGCTGATCGATGTTTCTAACTATCTCTCTCCTTTCCTCTCTGTAAAAAATCAATAAAATATTAAAAAAAAAAAAAAAGATGCATAAATTCAAATGTGAAGTGCTTTCCACTGCTTACCATTTAAATGGCATACTTCACTAACACAATATCCCATAAAAGTTCATGAGTACTTTCTTAATTTACCCAACATACTCAGACTAGATATTAATGCATCTTATAAAATACTTCCAGGTAGGATCATTAAAAAACAAATAAACACAACACCCTGAGATGTAACAGCATCACATAGTAGAAGCAACTGGTTTGGTGAATGAGAGATCCTATAGTTCTAACTGTCCAGTGACCTTGAAGGACAGCATATAATCTCTCAGTGCATCAAGAGCTTAAAAGGAAGGGTAGGATTTGATCATCTTTAAGATTCTTTATACTAATTGCTCTGATAATATTCACTTCAAACACAGGTGCTTTAGAAATAGTAGGATTAGTATTCCTCATTATATCTTACAGTGATGTTCTCTTCATATATTATTTTGAACAAAGTACACACAAAGACATTCTTTTACTCCTCAAATAATCAGCTACAGTACAAGTAAATCCATGGACTTACAGTAGTCCTCAGCAGCACCACTTCACAGTCTTTAATTGCAGTTCTAATACAAGTTGCCTTCACCCGCCACTCAGGCATCCAATAGAGGAGGAGCAGGAGAAAGCCACCGGTGCAAACCACTCCTAGAGAAACTATGGCAAGCTTCCAGCGACATAAATTATAGCCATAAATTTCCTGCATGGATATAGTAATCATGATTAATCATCAAATGATATGAAAGATAAATTCCAAAGTTCTTTGTTTTCCAGATGGTTATTGTCTTGTCAGATAAACTACAAATATTTTCCCAACCCATAATTTATCTTTAAATTTTGTTTCTGAGAAGCTCATTGTCAAAGGTATATTTTTTAAGTGCAAAATCTTTTGATATTTACACATTACATTCTACATTTGATGTTATCATCCTATATAATAAAAGGTTAATATGCAAATCGACCTAACAGTGGAACCGGTCGCTATGATGTACACTGACCACCAAGGGGCAGATGCTCAATGCAGGAGCTGCCCCCTGGTGGTCAGTGCACTCCCACTGAGCAAGAAGCCGGGTTCATGGCTAGTGAGCGCAGCAGGAGTGGTGGGAGCCTCTCCCGCATCTGCAGCAGAGCTAAGGATGTCTGATGGCACTAAGCCGTCAGTCAGACATCCCCCAAGGGCTCCCAGACTGCGAGAGGGCACAGGCCAGACTGAGGGACTCCCCCCCCCGCCCCCCGCAACC